AAAACCGAAAAATCTAAACCTGAGCCTTCTGAAGCCTGGTTTTTGCATATCAGACTTATTCCAGTGAAACAAATCCAGATTTCTCCCCTATGAAGGTGCTTTGGATGACATTTCTGTTGCGGCTGCCAAATAAAGTCCAGAGGTTTCGGGATCATTTGTCAACACCAAAGACAACATTACCAAGAACTGGTCCTTTCTTCCCAGAGGTCACTCCTGTGATCCATGGGTTTATTACCTAGAGCAACAATTAATCTTGCTGCCTTCAAAATAAAAATATTTTTAGCCAAGATAGTGTCTATCCATGATCCATATCTCTGACCAGGCGTCCCTGCCAGGAGGCAGAACAGAAGGTTCACTGGCTGGACATCAAGGGACCTGTCCCTGTCCAGGATCCGTTGCTAACCTAGCCTCAGTTCAACTACGGAGTAAGATTCTTTCCTCCCTGGCCTTGGCTACTTCACTTCAAAATGGGATTTCACCAGATGAGTTCTAATATCTTTCCTCTCTCAAAAATTCCATGATTATAAGAATCTCTAATTTCCTCAAAAGGTAATAATTTTGAAAACAGCTTTAGTGCCAAAATGTTACATTTTCTATTAAATACTTTTAAATGTGAATATGAATACTGTATTGTGAGCAAGTTTTTGTATAATGTGCATATATATGTATACATAAGTATGTATTTGTATCAGTACTTATATATACACACAAACACACACACACTGATACCATTAGGCACTTATATGGGACTAATTGCTTCCAACTCAAAGCAGCAAATTTTCAATTCTGCAACAGATGTCGCTGTGTGATTTCTCCTTTCTGTGCTGGATTTTCAGTTAAAAATGCCCAGCATAATGGTCAGTACTATTCTTCCCAAGAAAGACATACAGCAGTTGAATCCTTTGGATTTATTTTGAATTTTCTTCCTCTGCTGCTAAATTTCCACTCAAATTATAACACTGATTAGTTTGGCCCAATTTAAGAGATTTCCCACATTAAAATGCACTTTTGTTTAAAAATATATATACATCCACATGCACGCGTGCACACACACACAAACCCACAAACACAATCATTTTTGAAATATAAATTCTAAGTGACCAATTATACATTAAAATGTCACATACAGAAACCCCAAGAGAATGAGACAGTTTATATTCATAAAAATCTTATCAAGTTTTAAAGTCTAAAAAATCATTTAGCTATATAGGCCAAGGAATGATGAAAATTCACCTAGGTATGAGACTAAAACGTACCAGGTGTGGGAAAAGAGTCATTAAAAACTCCAAGAGCACCATCAATAAGAATAAAATTTTTGGATGTTGGTTTTCACAGCGTTTCTTTCAAAATAAATAGTAAGATTAATGTTATAATTGCAAGACATCTTACCAATCTGACATTCACTATCAACCACTTCTTGACACATGTCATGGAAAAGTGACATCTCTTTCCCTTCAACCAATGTATCTTCCAATGACATCAACCTCAACAGGTAGCTAGCATTGTCTTAATTCAGAGCTGAGAGCAAGGATTTCATAATCTCTCTTTGGCACCCAGGAACCCGTTACCTTCTGGGATTTTAGAGACTGTGGAGAGAGATGAGCAGGCAGTGAGCTGGGGACCAACTCCGATAAGAATATGAAGTCAGGAAGTGAGAGAGGAAACGAAAGTGTCCCGCCTATTGGCGTCTTCCCTGTCCCACTCCCCTTTACCAGGAGAGCCATTGGGGAAAACTGGATAAAGCATGTACAACATCCATATGAATAAAGCTCTTTGTTCCAGAGAACTGCCTGCTCTTTTATTCCCCCCTTTTTCCGTATTTGTCCATTTCAAAAGATTGCTCAATGGGTCTCTTGTTCCTCCAAAATGTCCCAGGCAAATAATGCAAGCTTGTCTCGTCACACAAGTCACTAAATGAAGCCTTGTGCGTCTCCAGTGACACACTGTAAATATAAAGTGGCATTAATGAGGGATATTTTATCAAATCTATCACAGACAAGTGCAAGTCCCTCCTGCGGCTATTCAATTCGATGCAGGGAAAGGCAACAATAGCAGGGCGGCACTTTTGCAAAGTCCCTATTCCCGGTTTGCAAGATCCAACAGGCCACGGCAAGCAAAACTCAGCCAGGCTCCTTCCCATCACCACCATAAACCCACCACCCATCAGCCATCTTCTCTAATCCTGAAAATGATAAGAGGGAGGTGATCAGCTACTGGTTCACTCGGGATCGAAAACATCATGCGTGCACCTTGAACGTAACAGGCGTGATTAACACTGTGGAGTGAGCTTAAGCAATCCCATATTTGCTGCATTTCATTAACATCCATTTCATCCAAACATCACAGGAGAAATATTATTCTCTGTGGGGATGGATGGCTTCGGTTACAAGGGAAAACAGAACCAGGACCCACCCACGATGGTCTTAATTCGCTTTCCCAGCAAGGATGCAAATGAAACAAGCCTAATGAAGTCAGATGCACCAACAGGTTTCTTTAATCCTGGGAGTGGGAACTGGAGGCCTCCGAGAAAGCTTAAACTAAGAGAACTGAGGAGGAAAAGTCCCTTGGTGCCCACCTGAAATTTAACCCTGGAATGTGGGACCCCGGAATGAGCCAAGACCTCCTCTCAAACTCACTATGTATATATATACTTATATATATGCATTAAAAGAAAAACAATTAAGAAAGCCATCTCACCCCCTCACTACAAATCAAACCCAATTACTTTCTAATTTGAACATAATCTGATAACCAGCATACAAACAGGGATGTACACAAGAGCAAGAAGCTGCTTCCATGGTAACTGGCAACAGAATTTCATGTAGCTTCGACATGCACGGCTGAGTTCCAGACCGCTCCTAAGTCAGCATATATCCATCGCAGGGAAAGCAACTTCTTACCGAGAGATAGTTACAAATATAGTACCGTTGCTACTACCCGGTGCCTTCAATGAGCAGTCTTGACAGGGGAGGCATAATCTAATCCTACTCTGCTGCCAAGCGTCATTGCAGGACTCCCATTTTTAGTCAAAAGGCAATATCCCGGACCATAGCTTTCCCCTCCTTTTTTTGCAGCCAATACAAGCCTATTGTTGCCTCTATTATGCGCCAGTTACCGAGCCTTTACTCACGCTCACGTTTAACTGACACTGGCGCTTTTTACAATGCAGCAGCACGAGGGATCTCTTTCAGAAACATTTTATTGAACCCATCCAGTCAGAGGCATCACCCGAAATGAAGTTGTAACCACACCGGCATCGGCTGAACCCAATTATCTCGTAACTCATAAATTAAGAATTCAGAGGAAAAACACATAAACAACATCCGGAGACAGTGGCATTGAAGAAAAAATCCTCAGCGCTGGAACTGACGCTGCTGCCAGACTCCCCCCAATAGGTTCCCCAAGTCGAGCCCCTTTGCAAGCCTGTTTTGGGGGCAAGCAGGCAACCCGGCGTCCCTCAAATCTCTAGCTAGCACCCCCACACATCCCCCGTCTCCTACAGCGTGTTTCCTGCGGTGTTTACATAACTGTGTGTCCTCTAGCGTGTAAACAAAAGGCACAGCCCAAGCCGAGAGCCGCCCCCGAAGCAGCACGGTGGCCCCCAATACTGTGCCGGCCCAGGCCGGGGGCTCCGCAGGTGGGGGCTGAGCGCTCGGCGTCCTCCGCCACTTGTTGCTCCCGGGTCCTGCAGCTCTGGAGCTGCAAGGAGGGGCTTTGCAGGCGCAGAGTCCTGCTGCATCCCCTCCTGCATCGCCGCCCGCCCCCGGCGGCCCCGTGCTACTCGGTGCCGCCGCCCGCCCGGAGCCGGCAGCAGGCGGCCAGGGGCGCGGGGACGCCGCGCTGCTGGTGAGCGCGGCGAGGTGGCGGGAAGGGAGGCAGGTTGCAGCACGGCCGGCCTCTCCGCTGGGGAAGAGCTTCGGCTCCCTTTTGTTAGCAAAAGCAAACACTGCCCTCTTCTTTCCCGACCGCGCCAACGCGCCCGGCACACGGGCAGTCACACGTCGTGCTCCAACCGAGTGCTCGGGGTCTTCAGGGAAGGCTCCGGCGTGCAGAGCCGCCCTGGGCAAATTCCCAAGACCGCTCTTCTCTCGGGGCGCGCGGAGGCCCGCAGAGTGTCCGCCTGGCCGCAGAGGCCGCGAACACCCCCTCCACCACCCTCGGGCCGCCGAAAGAACGGGCAGCCGGGAAATCCCGTGTCCCCACTCGTGGTAGAGGACGCTGTGGGGCGGGCAGGCTGCGGGCTCCCAGGCGCCTTCCCGCAGAGGCGGCGACAGTGGCCGCTCCCCCCCACGCCCCGCGGGGCCGGGCAGGGGAACTTTCCCTGCCTGGAGCCGGGCCAAGGAGACCCGCAGCGGAGCCGAGGGGGCGGAGGGCTGCGTTCCGCCGGAGGGAAACACGAGAGGCGTGCAGTTCGAGAACAGGGGAGAAAGGCAAGAGCGCGTGGGGGGAAGGGGCAGGGGAGATCAGACAAGTCTGGGGATGTCCTGGGGACCGAGGAGGAATCACGCCGCGAGCGGCTGGGAGTCAGCCACGGGGAGGCTTCGGGGATGGAGAACTGGCGGGGGGGGGGGGGCCGCTGGAGAGGTGGGGGCGAATGGGTAGCCCTGAGAGACAGGAGGACCGGCAAGTTACGGGGACGACGGCGAGTTTAGGAGGGTCCGGAAGGGTCAAGGGTGTCTTCGATCCATCCCTTTCCCCCAGGCTCTGTAGCCTCCGGGCCCCCCATTCCCACTCCACTCCGCACCCCGCTCCAAGCCGGGGAGAGAAGGTGTGGGTGCAGCCATCCCTGGGGACTCACACCCAGCCGGGCAGCGGAGAAGGGGCTCACAGATTCCCTCAGACCCTTCCCTCTCAGCCCTGAGTTTCCTCTCAACACTCCCTCCGCTTCGGATTTAGGAAGTGGGGGGAGGTTGTCATGGAAACGTTTCCCCCCTCTGTGGCTACGGCTATTAGGGTGCCTTGGGAGATTTAGGGGCCAACTGGCCGGTGCCCACACCTACCTGTTGGGATCAGTGCCGCGGCGAAGAGCAACAGCAGAAGCCGGAACCGGAGCCCGCGAGGCGCCGCCACCGCCGCTGCCGCCGCACACTGGGATCCGCTCGGCAGCACAGCACTCGCCATGTCGGGCACCTGCCTCAGACTGGCGGCGTTGGCTGCCTCCGGTGCCCAAGCGGACAGCTAATGATATGCTAATGACATGAGCTGAAGGCGGAGTCCGGGCAGACCAATCACAGCGCCGCGAGCCCAACCCGGCTCTCCGAGGGACTCGCCCCCCTCCCCCACTCCGCCCCCTGGCGCTGGCGTGCGGCGGCGCGCCCGCGCCACCTAGGGGCGGGGCCAATGGGAGGGGCGTATGCAAATATGTTTATGTTAAAATTCGGTTTTGCTTCCCCTAGATCAGGGAAAATGTTCTCCCGGGCGCCTGGCGTGCGAGGACTCGGGCTCCAGGGGGCGGGTCTAGCTTCCTGTACACCTTTATTAGGAATGTTTATAGCACTCGCTGTATCAGACCGACGACTGGAGAATCTCCCTTAAGAGGGTCCTCCGTCCCGCACACCGAGTGCATCTGGCCTGCGAACCAGACGTTGCAAATTTCCGTCACTCACCTTGCACCGAAGGAACAGATCTTTGGGAACAGGGGGCTGTGCGGGAGTGGAGAGTAAGAATGCAGGTCCCCGGATTGACAAAACAATCTGGGAGAAGTGCATGCGTGCTTTGCACGTCCGGCGGAGCGGGAGAGCCCGCTCAACAGCCTAGCGGTAGACTCCGGGATAGTTGGAGAAAGCAGCCTTAGAGTCGGGTTCTGAGATTTTCCAGTCGGTGTCTTTGAAGCAGAATCTCGGGAAAGGTAGATCGAGGAGGGTATGCTCAGGCTTCCCATCTTATCGAGGGTCTCCTCCATGGTTTTGATATATAGGCATGTGTTGAAATATGTATGACATATTTGTAATATTAGATATTTAAGATTACACAACGGAAAAAATCTATTCGGTCAGGTAAAGAGCAGGGGTCGTGGAAGTGGGTGATAGGGAGTGTAGTGAAAGTACGGTCTGCCGTGTTCCTCCTTCGGGGCTCAAACCCACTCACTCCTCCTCTGCGCCCCCAGCCCTTCCTAAGGAGGCTGGGCACCAACAGGTGCTCCGAGCTTCCCGTGTCTCTGGGAGAGCCTCTCCTGCTGAAGCGACTTGCCATCTCCGGACTCACTCTCCCTCCACGAAATTCTCTTTGCTTTCTTTTCAGCCAGGCAGCTGGCTCTCTTGTTTGTCTGCTCTTTAATTACTTATTTCCTTCCCCTCTAGAAGATCGTGTGCGCTCTGACCCTCTGTTGCTCAAGCATCAAATTGAAGGACGAGCCATATTAAGTGTAAAGGTTTATAATAATTTAAGTATTCATAGAATGCAGAACAATAAGATGTAGGAAATACAATTTGCATAGTAAATATCAATATCACAACAGCTAAAACAAACCATGACAAATTATCTGTGGCTAAATGACCAAGAGATTACTGAATGTAAATTGCTAAGTCTGAGCTACAGTCTAGAAGAGCTGCGCCAAATGACTTCCCTAGCCTTCTGTCCTCATCTTGCTAAAAAATAAATAAATAATACATATCAAAAAGGAAGTCATGATCTGCCAACCCACCAAATGAGTTACACTTAAAAACAGCCTCCTATTATCCATTATGCATAAACTAATTTCGAGACTGCACGGTCTTCACAGCCCTGGATATTCTGCTCTGTAATTACAGGCCCCGATGCATGAACTGCAGGCAGTCCTCCAGAAGTGGGGAAAGCTCCAACAGGAGAATAGCACTACAGGAGGCAGGAAACCATCCCCTCATGGGCACCAGGATAATGCCCAGTCTGTAAAGTCCTACCTGTTCTTATTACCTCTGACAGTGAGGTACCTGGGTCACACCAAATAGAGAGCAGAATTCCACCAAAATTGGAATAAAAAATTTAAGGCCATATGTATGCTGAAAGTGATATATAAACTATAAGGACAAGTCCTATATGCCAAGAATCCTAGCACAGAGCCTGGCACAAAGTAATATTATTACCTGCCACTACTATTATTACTACTCTTGCATTCATTGAATCCTTCTTAAGTATTCTAAATGCAAAATCTCATTTAATCCTTGGAACAACCCCCAAAGTACCTACTATTATTATCTTTCATTTTATGTTTTTTAAACATGAATAGAAAGATTAAGTAACTGCCCTAAGATTATAGTCTCTAACTTGCAGAAAGAGCCTATGCAATTAACCACCAAGCCTTACTAAATGTCTGTTAAGTGAATGAATACATTTCACATTACAATGCATGAATAATAAGCAAAGGATAGCTACATTTTTAACATAAGGTGAAAATATGCCAGCAGCCCAGAAACATTTTTTTTTTTTTTAATAACAGAATTGCACTATACTCCTAAGGAAAAGCATTCCTCATGAAGCTGAATCTCCAGGAGAATCTAGCCAGGCCCCAGTCCTCCCACACTCGGAACACAGTATGGGGACATTGGAAGATGTGGGGTGTTTTCATCTCCCTTAATTCTTTTGGCACATCAAATGAACACCTACTCAAATTTCCAGTTGGCAAAGAACAACATGGGACATTTCTGTAGGAAATGCTAATGTCGTATGACTTACCTCACTAGAGGAATGCAAATAGCTTTAGAAATTTCCATCAAAATGCCACCTGTGCCATAAGGTTGAGGAACTTGCACATACAGTTCCCCAGGTAGAGAAACTGAGTTCTGGGACACCTTTAGTACTAGGTCTACATGGCAAGAAGCAGAGCAGAGAATTTAGGATTAAGCTGTTTCTAGTCTATCCACTAGCCACACGCCTCTCCCACCCCCAGCTCCTTCACACTGAAGATCTCGCCAAGCGATTTAACATATGGAACATGTGAAGAACGTATCAAATTCCCGCAGCCGCTAAGTACAAGTTATGACTACTCTGGCTTTCTCATAGTAAAGCTCGTCATTTTCTGCTTCATGGACTAGAACTCCTCGCCAACTACAGGTTCCAAAATTTTCCCCTTTGCTACATGGATTTAACCAATTTTGAAAACCAGATGGTGTTTTTGCCATTTATAACTGATAATCAATTGTTTTGTGAATTTAATTTTTCAGGAAAGAACTGAAATACTTATCAGAATTACAGTCTGGGTGCTACTTGTGTTAGAATGTAATTGCCAGAAGCACCAAGAGCCCAGCTTTTTCTTTTCTTTTTTTTCCTTTTGTTGTGAGAAACTTTAAAGAGTGAGAGAGAGTGAGAAACCTTGTATTATTTGCTTTCACTAAAATAGTTAAGAAACATGGATAAACATACATTAAAAATAATCATTAAAAGATGATTCATGTTTTGAGGAATACATAAGAGACAATGAATGAGAACTAGCAACATCTTGCTTTGTAAAGGACTCATTATTTGAGTACCTATGTATGAAAAGCAATAAAGACAAATTATTAAGGAAAAGAAAACAGAATTTGAAGTCAGCATTTGACCTGTAGGTGGATTATTTAAGTACGTATAGAAAAGTGCTTTAATCTCTGTTACGGACTAAATGTTTGTGTCTCCCCGAAATTCATATATTGAAGCTTAAGCCCCCATGTGATGGTATTTAGGGGTGGGATCTTTGGGAAGTAATTACATTTAGATGAGATTATGAAGGTTGGGTCCCCCCCATATATCCCTTCTAAGATATCCCTTCATCTTTTTTTTTTGAGACGCAGTTTCGCTATTGTTACCCAGACTGGAGTGCAATGGCGCCATCTCAGTTCACCGCAACCTCCACCTCCTGGGTTCAAGCAATTCTCCTGCCTCAGCCTCCCAAAGGGCTGGGATTATAGGCGTGAGCCACCGCGCCCGGCTATCCCTTTATCTTATAAGGGATAAATATCCTTATAAGAATAAGATACACCAGAGTTCCAGAGGTGTGTCACGTGATCACACAGTGAGAAGGTGGCCCTGTGGAAGCTAGGAAGAGGGCCCTCACCAGAACCCAATGATGCCTTCCAGCCCCAAGAACAGCACAAAAATAAATTTCTGTTTTTTAAGCCACCAAGTCTACAGTATTTTCTTATAGCCTCCTGAGCAGACTAAAGCAATCTCTAAGCCTCGCTGCCATTTTCAAAAGGTACATTAAAAGTATCATAAATGTCAGCTTTTGATAGAAAAGTATTCCATACATCAAAGTAAGTTAGCAATATATTAGAATATTGGACGAGATAGACTTTTGGTCTTATGTAGTAGACAGCTCTTATATACTTAGATTAAGACTAAGAAGCTCATCTTTAGGGTCATCAGTCTGTGAAACTTTATGAAATATGAAGCCAGCTAAATCCATATTTCTAAATGCATAAACACCTTACCTAAGGGTTTATTCTTCTAGGATCAGAGAGTTGACTGTATACTCTTGAATATCAAAAGTCAAATACCAATTTGAAGAAATGTACTGAAGCAGGTTGCAGAAAACTATGCATGAACTGGATCAAGGAGCAGTTCAAATTCCCACAGAAGGGAATTTTCTGTAGGGACTCAAGTCATAGTTTGCTCCAATCAGATACCTAGGAATATATTCAGATATATGTGGCTGATCCAAATATATATTCAGTAAAAGAAAAACCCTTATGGTGTACTTCCACTGAGCAGTCACTGTTAAATTTTGTGAATACAAAGGCGAATGAAAAACTAGTTACTGCCAAGAAACTCAGAGAGTATAGTTGGGGGGGGCAACATGCACCACAACTATTTACTATATGTAATCAATGTTTTTACAATATTTGCATGGAGCTCTATGTGAACACAAAAGGAGGCACCTACTCGGGCGGCAAGTATGAATATTTGTGTATCTCAGAAAATTTTCACACAGGAGAAGTTCTTGAGCCAAGTCTTAGAATTTGAGTAAGAATCCACAAGGTAGAGAGGGATACTACTGGGGCAGAGAGAAGATATGATGAGAGGGGAAGTCATTTACACGTCCCAAAAGCTTGAGAGAGCATTATGTGTATTTGGGAAATTACAAATAGAATGGCTGGATCACAGATTGTCAGAGGATGAGTGGCAAGAAAAGAAGCTGGAAAAATGATACAGGGACTAGAGAATGTCCTGATTAACATGTTAAAAAGTTTCAATAGTTGTAGGTAATTAGAACCCATTGGTTCAGGTGTGGCAGTTCACACCCGTAATCCTAGCACTTTGGAAAGCTGAGGCCAGTGAATTACTTGAGGCCAAGAGTTCAAGACCAGTCTGGCCAACATGGTGAAACCTGTCTCTACTGAAAATACAAAA